TATACTTCCATAATCTAGCACAGATCTTATCATTGCTATATAAACTGTTTGAAGCGCCCCTCTATCTGCTCCCCACTCTTGTCCTGCCATACATTTCATTACATTTAAAACTCTTTTACACTTACTCACTATCTTATCAATATGTTCTTTCCATGTAAGTCTAGTATCCAGCCACATTCCTAGGAATCTAATTGATGTTACTCGTGCCATGTCTTTGTTATATATTCTTAACTTCCATTCACTGTCTACTTTCTTGTTAGAAAATATAATAGTTTGTGACTTCTCCACAGAAAACTTAAATCCCCATTTGTATGACCACTTAACTACCTCATCCACAGCCTTCTGCATTTTCCCCATATTAAACTTAAATGTTTCTTCCTCTGAACCACAAAGCCCCATCATCTGCAAACAGTGATCTTCCAATACTCCTATCCACCTTACTAAACATATCATTTATCATTATTATAAAAAGCACTGGACTTATTACACTTCCCTGAGGAGTGCCATTTTCTATTATTCCTTGAGATGATATAGTCTCCTACTCTCACTCTCATTACTCTTTGTTTAAGGAAGTCACTAATCCAATTAAACATTCTTCCCCCTACCCCATCTCCTCCAATTTTATCATCAAACCCTCTCTCCATAACATGTCATAGGCTTTTTCAATATCGAAAAACACGGCAGTTACTGATTCTTTATTTGATAGAGCTTTCTTTATTTCCACTTCCAAACACATAACCGGATCCATAGTTCCCCTTCCTATCCTAAATCCACTTTGATAAGGTGATAATTTTTCTTTTTTTCCCAAAAAATAAACTAGTCTGTCCGTTATCATTCTCTCCATCACTTTCCCTACATGAGATGTAAGGGCTATTGGTCTATAATTAGCCGGCTTACTTGGATCCTTCCCTGGTTTCCTTATTGGCAATACCAGTACCTCTTTCCAACTTTGTGGTAGTACCCCCATTTCCCAAACTTTATTATAGAACTCTAACATTACTCTCAATGATTCCTCACTTAACTGCTTGATCATATAATAGCTGATTTCATCTTGACCAGGAGTAGTTTCTCTCATTCTCCTCAGCGCTCGTTTTAGTTCCGTCATTCCAAATGGGACATCCATTATATTATCTCTTTCCTCTCTTTTGTCCAATAGATGAGGATGCTCTTTTAATATTTCCTCCCTTTCCCTCTTAAATTCTTCAGTCAGATTTTCCGTACTGTTTACTTTTATAAATGTATTACAAAACATTTCTGCTTTCTCACTGTTTTCTACTGCTATGACTTCCCCTTCATTTAAAACAGGATATTCTATCTCCTTCCCTATTCCATTCATCCTTCTGATCATATTCCATACCTCTTCTATTGATGTACTTTTCCCTATTCTGTCACAGAAATCTCTCCAATGTCGCCTTTTTGCCATTCTTACCACCTCTTTTACTTTTGTTTGTTCTCTCTTATATTCCATTAAATCTTGATAGTTATGCATTCTTCTTACTTTCTTGTATGCTCTCCTTTTCCTTCTAATAGCTTCATCACACTCCTTATTTCACCATGGTACCATTTTTGTCTTTCTTCTTCCTTTACTCTTAGGAATATTACTTAATGCTGCATTTTTCATGACCCCTATAATTTTCTCACTTATAGCTTCTATGTCATCTCCATTTCTTACTTCATTTATGTCTAAACCATCCTCCACCATTTTCACATACTCAGTCCAGTTAGCTTTCTCATATTTCCATCTCCCTTCTCTTCTCTCATTTCTTTCTACACAATTATTCATACACATTTCAATCAAAATTGGAAAATGATCACTGCCTATAGTACATTTCCTTAATACCTTCCAGTTAATTATTCCCCCCAACCTACTTTTTGTTAGAGTTAAATCTAACACCGCTTCTTGACCTGTTCTCATGTCTATTCGTGTACCTCCCCTATCATTCAGACAGATCAAATTCCTCTCATCCATTAATTCTTCAATCACCTGCCCGTTTTTGTCAATTACACTTCCTCCCCACATACTATTATGGGCATTAAAATCCCCACACCAGATCACCCTCTCTCTACTTTGTCCTTCTATCTTCATCATCTCTTCCAATGCCATTTGTCTGCATGGATTGTAAAAATTAATTATTACAACACTCTTGTCATCCTTCCATACCTCAACCACCACATATTCCATTTCTCTTCCTTTCTCCACCATTCTATGCTGTATTTCACACACCCACCACCATTTCCCTCTTCCCGGTCTCTTCTCACAGATACATATCCTTTAATTACAAAATCAAATTTAGGCTTCAGCCAAGACTCTTGTACACATATGACATCTGGCTTTTCCTCCATCTTATTTAGATAACCCTTAAATTACAATCCATTAGCCACCAAGCTATAGCATTCCATTGTAATATTACTAACATCAAGATTATTGTCTATCCCATGATTCTTGACTAGGCTGTATTTCTGAAGTTAGACCATCTCTAACCATTTCCCATGTTAGCCCTTTAATATCCAGGAACCTCTCTGCTGCTCTCACTATTATCTGTATCTTTTCTATTCTTCTTTCAGTCTGCGCTGAACAATTTATGACCTCTGCCATGAATAACACAAAACTCTTTTTACTTACTATCATTGTGTCATCCGATATACTTCTTCTCTTTCCCTCATTTCTGGCTTGATCTCTCCATTCCTCCTCCTCACTCTCTTTCTTTTTCTCACCTGCACTAATACTTAATCGCAATAATATAATAGTCTCGATTCAATATTCATAACATTCAATGCAAATACTCAAACACAAATAATACACAAGTAATAATTATCAAACACACTTAATTATATTCAAATTAGTAAATCAGTCCATTCAGTCCAAAATCTGAAAATAGAAAAAGAAATGGCTCCAACAGTATGATTACAGAAAAAAAATGTCTTGTTATTGAACGTCAATGGAACAACAAATTTATTGTATTTATTTATTAATTCATTCATTCATTCATTTATTTTTGACAATAAATTATAAAAGTGGTTTGTTGTGTTTAAAAAATATATGAGGTGGTGAGGGGCAAAAGGTTTATTCATATTTATTCAAATACTTTAGCTAGTAATATGTTTTACATAATATAAAAGTTAATACTTGTTCAAAACAAGTTTGTACTATTATCTGTTTATTTTAATAATTAAAATAATGTATTGTTCAGTAAATACACTGTTAATTTTAAAAGTAAAGAACAAGTATTTAAAAATTAAAGATAATGAATGTTTTTAGAAACAACTATAAATATGATATTATATGATATAATGAATATCTTTGAATATCTATATAGATATAGAATATAGAATATCTATGTTAGAATCTAAATCTAACCATATCATCTTGTGCCATCATGTCAATTATTGTCTTGTGTACCAGTGATTTTTACCCAAAATTTTGGCTATTGAAAAACTGTTGATTTGATTACATTAAACAAAACTGAAAAAAAAAAAAAAACTTCAAAAGATCTTTGTCTCATACTATTTGTAGTAATTTTATTGATTCTCATTCGCTAAAAAAATATATTTAAAAATAAACAACAACAACAAAACTACATATGACATCAAACTGGCATAGAATCAACTTTCTTCATCTCTTCTTGCGATTGCACCGAGGAGACACATTTCCCCAGATGTTGAGGAAAATGTGAGTTTTTGTGTCATCTAGTGGGGTAGAGGAGAATAAAATCAAAAGCACTTATAACCCTGATTATCTATATCTGTGTATATATATTTATATATTTATATAAATTATGTAGTTATGTCCAAGAAACATCAGGCTTATTTGATTTTCTCTTTTATGTTTCAGTGAGAGATCTGAGGATTGCTCTTCTGGGAAAGAATGTGTCAGAAAACAACAGAGTGGCAAACTTAATCTTGGGGACAAATGTGTTTGAGACACTTCCAGTGGAGAGGAAGTTTCAGCAGCACAGCCAGAGAGTCGGAGGAAGACTGAAGAACAGACGCGTGATGGTCATCAAGAGTCCTCAGCTTCTCCAGCCTCACCTGTCACTCCATCAGATCACACAGGCAGTGAGAGAGTATGTGAATCTGTCTGCTCCAGGACCTCATGCATTCATACTCGTACTGCAGCATAAGGACTTCACTGAGGAGGATGGACACAGAGTGAAAAGTGTGCTGAAAGAATTCAGTGAAGAGGCGATTAAACGCACTATAATGATCACTACTGATGAAGAAATATACAGATCAATGTTTAGTTCTACGCTCAAGAATAAAGCAATCAATCAGTTAATAAAGGAGTGTGGAGGAGGACATCTGCAATTTGATGAAAGAAAACCAGAATGGCTCTCAGAGATATTCAGTAGAGTTGATACGATGCTCAAGGGAAACCAGGAAGAGTATCTCACATGTGAGATGTATGAAGATGCTATAGGCACATCAGTGGATGAAGAGCAGATCAGATCTGATGATTCAGTCAGATCAGAGGAAGAAAGCAAGAAGAGTTCTCACCACAAAGATGATGGAAAACCCAAAGAGAGACAGAAATGGGAAAGTGATGAAGGTAGGGTTTTTTTTCGAATAGATTTTCTAATATTGAGCTTCTAAGGGTATGAACATGAACTACAATTTTAACCATATACTAGTACTTACAGTTTTAGATTAGTTTTATTTTGCTACGATATATTTGGTAGGCATTGTATGAGCGAGTGTCATATGTGTTTGTAAAGTCTCTTCTAGCATCAAGGTGTAACTGATGTTATAGAGGTATCTGTCTTGTTTGGAGTCTTTATTCTGATACTAACTTTACACCCTGTTGATTGTGTCCAGGAAAGTAGGTTTAAACCAGTGCTTAATTTGTAAATAAATAATTGCCGGATCGAAAGGTAATTAAAAGGTGCTGTGACTGATACTGACCACACAACTTCAGCGTTCCTGGAACAATGATGTCACTAATGAGCACAGTCTATAAGCACATCATTCACAAGTTTCTGTACGGCCGTATACAGCAGTCCGTCGGTTACGGCTTGCTAGATCTAGCATTCTGCCCACTTAAAATCAGTCAGAGATAAGTAGTGTGGTAAGATTACATTTACTTAATTGTAGCATTTATTTGAATTATTTTGAGAAAAAGAGAGATCGTGCATGTGTGAATTACCTGCTTCTGTAGCGTCTCTCTACTAATAACCTACTGAAGTTGTGAGTTTAATTATTTCACTAATTAAATAGGATGTTACCCCCTCGTTGCTGAGAAATATAATGTAGTGATTCAATAGCAAAGCTATTTTATTAATAAAAGTTGCGGGGCAACTTTATGTGCTTCTGAATGTTTCTGTGTGCACAGCGAGATTGTGCGGCTGTGTGCATGTGTTTCAGTGCGAATCAAGGCGATTTGAACGCACACTTTCCGGCCAATCAGACTATTCAGACAGACTATGGTATGAATCTGCATGCACCCAATCTTGCTGTCTCACACTCACAAACACACTGTCACCATGTTAATGCCAAATTGTTTAATAACAAATACCGGAACACAAAAATCCCAAATCTGACATTTCCCGGCAGGATCTGGCTCCAATTAAGCACTGGTTTAAACCCTTAGACTAATTATTGGAACTCAAACTCAGAACTTAAAATAACCATGCCATGCCAAGTAGGTAAATAGGATATAAAAATTAACTGAAAAACAGGGAACAGTGTTGACACTTTGGATCAACCAAGAACAGAAAAAAAGAAAATGTTCTGCAGACATATGGCCCTAGTAGACACAAGAACAAAGACCTCAACAATTACCCTTTATTTTATTTTATTTTATTTTATTTTTTTATTTATTTTATTTTTTTACAATTATTATTTTAAAGACACAAACAGTAAATCAGTGTAAAATAATGGGTAACATTTTACAATAAGGTTTCATTAGTTAACATTACTTAACTACTTTAGTTAACTAAGAATGAACAATACTTCTACAGCATTTTTAAAAATCTTAATTCATATTAATTTCAACATTTACTAATGCATTAATAAAATCAAAAGTTGTGCTTGTTAACATTAGTTAATGCACTGTGAATTAACATGAACTAACAGTGAACAATTAAATTTTAATTAACTAACGTTAACAAAGATTAATAAATACTGCAATACATGTATTGTTCATTGTTTGTTCATGTTGGTTAATACATTAACTAATGTTAACAAATGACACCTTATTGTAAAGTGTTGCCAAATAATGAATGAATGGTACGGCATGAGTGTAAACATTCTATTCTAATGACTCTTAAAATGTTTTTCAGTGTCAGCAGATATCTTTGGAAAACAGAAACTGAACCTGGTGCTGTGTGGAAGTGATGGATCACTAATGGTCTCTGTGTCCCAAATTTTACAAGGAAAACATATCAGTCCTTCATACCAGAAAGCAAGTAATGAAGTGTGTGTGATGGAGGAGGAGCTTCATGGTCGTCTGATCAATCTGATCAGTCTTCCAGCTCTCAATCAGCTCTCAGAGGAGGAAGTGATGTGTAAGACTCTCCACTGTGTGTCTCTCTGTGATCCTGGAGTTCATGCTTTCATCATCATTATTCCTGTTGGTCCACTGACTGATGAAGACAAAGCAGAAACAGAGAAGATCCAGAAGATATTTGACTCCAGAGAGCACTTCATGCTGCTCTTCACAACAGAGCTCACTGTTGAAGGACTTGCAGCAGAGTTTGTCAAATCCAGCCTAGAATCTCAGAGGTTAATCAGTCTCTGTGGAGGTCAGTACAGAGTGATGGGGTTAAAGGAACCTGAATACTCCAGACAGATCCCAGAACTGCTGGATTATATAGAGAACATGAAGACTGAATCGTATTCACCTCAGATGTATGTGAAAGCTCAAGAGAACAGAGTCAGACATGAACTGGAAGGACAACACAAGAAAGAACTGAGTGAAAAAGAGAGCAGAATCAAAGAGTTAGAGCAGAAGATTCAGTCAGAGAGTGAGTTGATTTATTTATTTATTTTTGGTACTGAGCATCTTTAAAAGAATATAGTAATTACTCTCATTTATTAAGTACAAGTAAATATCTCACAAATGTTTGCACATTTTCAAAACTGTAACTTGTATGTTCAAACAAGATGTTTAGTTTTACTTCATTATCACTGGTTCAACAGTGCACAATATAATTAAAATAGAGCAATAAATAAGTTCCACTTTAGCCTCGATTGACAGTGTTTGGTTGTGGTTTACATATCAGACTGATTTTAACATCTAGAGTTAAAAACAAATAATGCAACCTCCATGGTGATCCTGAACCTTACTTAAGCACACCAGTAGAAGGTCAATAATGACTTTTTTTTTTTTTTTAAAGGAGAACATCCATCTGCTTTCATTGCTAATGTTGACAAACCATTTGAACATAACCAAATTCTGGGACGTTAAAAGCTAAAAGTGAAAATCCAAAATCAAAGACAATGAGTCACATTGCTCAATGTTTGATTTTTTAAATACGATTTTATACGATTTTAATAAAAAAATAAAAACTGCATGATTAACGCATGATTTTTTTTACATGATTTTCAGGTGCTGAATGTGAAGATGATCTGCAGTGTTTGAGGATTGTGCTGATCGGGAGGACAGGAAATGGAAAGAGTGCAACAGGAAACACTATTATGGGAAGAAATGAGTTTGTGAGTAAAGCAAGATCAGATTCAGTGACGACTGACTGTAAGAAGGGAGTTGGTGAAGTTGATGGTCGATCAGTAGCTGTTGTTGATACTCCAGGACTCTTTGACACGACACTGTCAAATGATCAATAGAAACTGATCAGAGACTGTGGAAACAGATTCCTGGCTTTCAATAACAGAGAAAAACAAGACCGAACTCAAGTGATTCAACTGTTAAACATGATAGAAGAGGTGAAAAACAGTAACGAGGGTCGATACTTCACTAACAGCATGTTTGAGGAGGCAGAGATGTCCATTAAGAAGAGAATGGAGGAAATACTGAAAGAGAGAGAGAGAGAAATTCAGACTCAAAATGAGAAACTGAGAGTCAAATATGAGACAGAAATGGAAGAGCTCAAGAAAAGACTGGAAGAAGAGAAAATAAAAGCAGATGAGGAAAGAAAACAAAGAGAGAATGAGTTCAGACAAAAAGAGGAAAAAATGATGAAAGGATTCGAAGAAAAACACAAAACAGAACAACAGAAACGAGAGATTGAAAACCAGAAACGATCAGAAGAGGAAAAACAGCAAAAAGCTGAATATGATGGAAAAATAGAAGAGATGAAGAGAGAGATTGAAAACCAGATATCACAGTATGAAAAACAGCAAAAAGAAAGCGAAGAAGAAGATAGAAAGAGGGAAGAGAGATACAGACAAGATCAAGAAAAGATGAAACATGAACAAGAACACATTATAGCAGAATTACAGATGAAAGAAGAAGAAGAGATAAAAAAGAGAGAATCTGAGCAGAAACAGAGGAATGAAGAAGAGGCGGAGGAGAGAGAGAGATGGGAGAGAAAAATAAAAGAAGCTGAAAATGACAGAAAAGAGACTCAAGAGGAAATTAAACGACAGCAGAGAGAATGGGAGGATGAAAAGAAACGACAGATGAGAGAACGAGAGGAAGAGCAAAGAAAGAGAAAAGATAAACATGAGGAGGAACTGAGAGAAAAACAAGAAGAACTGGAGAAAATGAGAAAGAAATTTGAAAGAGAAAAAGAAGAAGAACAACAGAAGATAGACGAGGAGAGACAGAAAGAGAGAAGAGAAAGAGAAGAAAAAGAGAGAGAATATGATGAAAAGAGACAAGAAACAAAAAGACATTATGAACAGCTGGAGCAAGAGAGAAAAGAGGAGTGGGAGAGAAGAAAACGAGAAGATGATGAGAAAAAAGAAGAAGAGAGAAAAAGATGGAGGAAAATGATTGAAGATCTGAAACAAGAGCAAGAAGAAGAGATGAAGAGAAGAGAAAAAGAGGAGAATGAGAGAAAAGAAAGAGAAGAGAAAGATAGAAATGAAATGAAAAAGGAATATGAAGAGGAAATTAAAGAGATGAAGAAGAAACATGAAGGTGAAGCCAGAAAACAAGCAGAAGAACTGAATGATTTCAAAAAAGGAAAAGAGCAGCTCCAACAGAAGCTGGAAGAACATCAGAATGAATATGAAGCAAGCTGAAGCACTCAATAACCTCCTGAAAGACCAGAAAGGACAAAAAATAGGAGCACTTCAAGAAGACGTTAAACAATTCTGTCAAAGCCTGCAAGATCAAAAAGGAGACAAAATGAAAGAGTTGCAACAAGAAGCAGAAAAACTCTGTCAAACCCTGCAAGACAAGAAAGAGGAACATTTAAATATGCTCCAAAAAGAAGCTGAAGAGAGAAATAATAAATCAAGCAACTCGAGTTGTGTCATTCTGTGATTTTCACAGCATATATATATTTATATATATATATATATATATACTCACCGGCCACTTTATTAGGTACACCTGTTCAATTGCTTGGTAACACAAATTGCTAATCAGCCAATCATTTAGTCGCCTCCAGTGCAATTCCCTGTAATATAATAATGATGATAAATGATTAATTGACTGCTAGTCCAACACCACTAAATTTATTAATGAAGAATAAAGTCTTACCTGTGTCCTAGGCCGGTGCCAGGTCTGCAATGAGCTGGTGCATGATAGTGGAAAAGGTACTGTCTTGAATCCCATGGTACTGTAGTGAGCACTTTGAAACAATAATGCCACCATTATGGCGCTTTTCCACTGCATGGTACGGCACGGTACAGCTTGGTACGGTTCACTTTTTGGGGGTTTTCCACTGGGTAAACCACATGTGAATAATCACGCCCACTCTAAAGCGGTACTGAACTGCAGTGGAAACGCAAACCGAGCCGAGTCGTACCATGCAGTGGAAAAGCGCCATAAGTGATTGCACAGTGCTTTTCCAGCAGAGCAGGTACACAACATGCATTTCTTCTTCTTTTGATTTAATGGCGAAGATTTAAAACTTCAAAGGTGCCTATCGCCACCTACTGTGATGGAGTGTGAAAAGAATGAACAAACCCTCCTATATCCTATTATATAACCCACTATTCTTAATAAATCTCATGACTGCATGTATTTGTTTTCCTGAATTTGGACCGTCATTTAATAAGCTGGTTATAGTAAATTCCTGGCATCCTACTGCTTGTAATTCTTCCTTAAGAATCCTCCTTTCTATTTCATATATCTTACATATCTTCATAACATGCTCTACAGTTTCCTCTATTAAACAGACATCACATAGACCCGTGTTCTCAATTCCTCAGCTCTGCACAGTTTAGCTCCAACCCTAATCAAACACACCTGATCCAGCTAATCAAGGTAATCAAGGTCACTAGAAACTTCT